CTGGGAGCTTCAAGTTGGGCGAGAAGAAGGCGGCTGAACACAAGCCTAAGGCCGTGAAAAAGCCCAAGGCACCGAAGGTTAAGAAGGCTGCAACCCCAAAGAAGCCGAAAGTGGCCAAGAAACCCGCTAAGCCTAAGGCCAAGACCCCGTCAAAGCCTAAAGCTGTGAAGGCCAAGAAGGCGACGCCCAAAAAGCCAAAGACTCCCAAGAAGCCTGCGGCTAAGAAGGCGGCTCCCAAGAAGAAGTAATTCCTGTTACCGGGATTTAGGCAGTTAGCGCTGCTACAACGGAGAACGCGACCACGGCCCTCTTTAGGGCCACTCACACTATGATTGCTTGTTTGTTCATTTTGTTGTCTTGGTTCGTGGGTATTTCCGTACGGGTCTTTTATGGCATCTGTAGGGGTTAATGGCGAGCGCTTTGATGGTTTTGTTGTCTTAGGTGGCGGCTTGTCTCAGCCTCTACACTTGGTGACTATTCGAGTGCGGCCGTTTTCGCATTCAGTGAGGGAGTTGAGCAGTGCGTGAGGTGGCTGCATCGCTGATTTTTTATTTTAAGACCAGTCGGCCGGGGCGGAAATTGTGGTGGGCGAATTGATACCATTGTCGGTCTGAGCCAGCCTGATTGTGTATTCTGTGCATGTAGTCAGATGGTACATTTTTTGATTCTCTCGCCCAAATCTTGGTGGGCAAACCCTTACGTTGCTTTTCGGAACGCAACGTCAATGACCTTTGACCTGTGTCCTATAACTGATTGTAAGGTTTCAGTCGATAACAGAAACCGAGAAGACTGGGTCGACTGAAGAACGGGTCAGCCGTCATGTCTGAGGGTCAACGGTTGGATAAATGTTGGGCGTTCATTGGCGGTTCCGATTCGCCCGCTAGCTTTTTGGATGAAGCAGTAGGATAGTAGGACAGCCAAATATGTGACTGTCCCCGGTTTATCGGTTCCCGTCCCGCCCTTTGTTTCACAGAGTCGGGATATCGCTCCAACGCTCCTTGTGTTTCAATTAGGTCTCCCGTATGCGAGGTGACACCCGTGGGTGGGATATAGTTGTCCAGATTGACCAAGTTGAAAAAGTGGGAAGGGCACAACGAACAACGCCTTAGTAGTGGACCCGCTGATGCAATAAACTTTATCTGTAAACCAATGACTCAAGTCCTCACCCCAGTCTCGATTTACCTCGCGGCCGCCGGAACCGTTTCCAATTTGTGCAGTTCAGAATTTCGTTTTTATATTTGTCAGCGAACAGTGTCTCACGTGACTCAATTTACCTTACCCGAAGAAGTTCCTATGTGAACTTCACACATCGACCAACAGGTAATCCCTTCTTGTTTACTGCTTTTCATTGCTTATTGTCTATCAGTGAATGCTTTTTATATGAACATCATCATATAATTGGGGGAGGACATTAGCATACAAGTCGGATATTTGTCGTGGGCCAACTAGTTCAAAGCGTCAAGGAAATACAATGGCATGGGTACATATCAACATTTAGAACTGTAATTTAGGCATATATCAGAAATATCTTTTTTCTCTGAATGCATATATAAATCAATGCTTGACGCGGTCGGTTTCAGCGAAATGAATGATCTGAATAAAAACAAGTGAGAGAGGCAAGCATTAAACGATATAATGAGATCACAATATATGGAATTCACACTCTTAACCCCTTTTTTACTTGTTTTGTTACACCCGTGTTTGATGGAGCAAGCCCCATAGACCTGACCCGTTGGACTTAAAATCTCAAATCATATTTATGGCCAGCACTCTTTATGACAACTCTACAACACAAACTCAAATATAGAGTTTATTAAATCGATAATTAAGCGAATTATTCTGTTTGTTTTTATTTTGTTTGACTGGGCGTTGTCCAAATTAAATGGCAAATCGGCAAATGTTTGCCACGAGCTTCATCAATCAAAGATGCAGAGCGTGCCAATTAATTAGGTTCCAAACGGTCAATATGAGCCTCAAATTGGTTGTATATAGTTGGTTTCTTTTCTACTATTTCAATCAAATGGTTTGTGCAGCTCTGGCTGGTTTCATTTCTCCTCACACACCGTTACAAGTGAACCAGACGTGAAAATAACACTGATTCGTGTTTTGGGTTCCAACGAGTAAATGCAACTGTACACATATTCATAGTGATCTCAAGCTGTGATGCTCAACTTTGTCTGGACTACTCTCCCGTTGATGTTCTATTTTAAAAAAAACTGTGTAAACAACGCTTGTTCCCATGTGAAACATTTGCACAGAAAATCTACTCTGATCTCACTCATCCTTTAGCTGACGATCTATCCAAAGGCCGCTCACATTCGTTCATGCATTCTACATATCGCCATTGCCCTCTCGCATTCAAAAATTATGCATTTCTCTATTCCGCTAGAATCTTTGCAAACCGACAGCCCGTTTCTTCTGAATTTCAAAGTAACCTTGGAAGAGGAATCTTGTACTCAAATTATTTCCTTCTTGCGATGATATCATGTGAGATGGTGTGGGATGAGATGATGTGTCATTTTATACTGAAATGTGGACATTTGTCCATGGAAATGTCTATGCAAATATAAATACCACACAATTAATCTTTATAAGGGTTGTGATCTTATACGAACCGTAAGCTATGATGCTAGTTGCCCTTTACCAAAACAATTGATTGTTTTTTTCATGTTTGAATATTGATGCAAACCATAATATCCAATGGTTGGAACATTTTTTATTCATACCAATAACAGTCAGTGTGAAGCATTATGGAAAATAATAAATTGTAAGAACTAAAGAATAGGGGCGAATAGAGCAGAACATCAGGACTGCATTCAGTAGTTCTTCGTTCAGATCTTAAATTCCACCTGCACGCCTCAGAATGAATCAATGCCTTTTGTGTGAAATGCGATTCTTAATCAATAGCTGAGAAAATGGAGCACTAAAGAGGACGATATATCATCGTTGGGAAGGATTTTCCGACATTTGTTGCATCTTAACTGAAACCTATAACAATCGGCCTCATAGGTTAATCCAGTCTGCTGATCAAGCTACGATCACACGGTTTAAGATCATCGATGGTCCATAACATGAAGCGGAAAGTGTGTGTGTGTGTAACATCAACAGAGGGATTCAAATTTCCGAATCAACGACGGTGAAGGTGAATGGGACTACCACACCGATGATTCACCACCACACTCTTCAACATTTGAATACCAAATAACGAGTACTCCTGCACGTACAGACAACCTGGTCCGCGAAGACGAATGTATGTATTTGTTCAATTTCGTTACGGCTAAGAGATGACTAGCATCGCAGAACACCTACCAAATCCACAAAAAGTTAAAAAAAGAACCAATTTACAGGTAGGACGACTTAATCGGTAATCGGTATATCCAGCAGACGGTACAACCTGGGATAATAGTAAACGTAGTGGACAAATTTTACTATCTGGGCATCTATATCTCACCAGGCGGACGCGTCATAGATGAAGTGTCGGCGCGGATACAAGGCATTTGCCAACTTGAGACATTTGTGGCGGCGTCGCGACATCCGGCTATCTGTGAAGGGTCGAGTCTATGCTGCAGCAGTCCAGTCAATCTTGCTCTCGGGTGCCTTTACGAGTACAGGATAAAAACAGATTATCGGTGTTCGAACCGCTGTCTACGTCGCATTGCACGAGTCTGGCGGGATAACTGGATGAACAATGCTGAGGTTTGGCGTAGAGTCTTAGGTATTCGCTGTCGTCCATTGGAGCAAGTGATCGACCTTCATAAATTACGTTGGTTGGGACATGTGTTACGCATGTCACCAGATAGGTTGCCAAGGCTAGTAGCGGTTGGAAAAGATCAAGGGTGGTCAGACGAAGATCTGACATGAAAGTTTGAAAACCGTAACCAGGAGACTAGGTCACATAGGCCCCGTTAGGCTCCCTGTCTGGGGACCTCGGGATGGGTCACCGATGGTTAGAGACACTGATTGATATGGCTGGGTGTCGCAAACAGTGGCGCTCGTGCTTCATCGATGGTTAGAGACACTGAGTGATATGGCTGGGTGTCGCAAACAGTGGCGTTCGTACATCCACTCACTATTCCCCTATCATTATTCTATATGAATTCTCCATCTTCCGCTTGAATTTGCTTTCAACATTCCAATATTCATTCTGCTCTTATATCCAAATGGGGAAGGAGAAAGACTTTATTCTCTTTTTGCAGATCTCCTAAACTTCTTTCTCGTTGTAGCGGCATTTTAAAGACCGTTTTGGTTGACTTTATTGTGAGCAAGCATTTTGACTCATGCGACCGATTTATCAGCCATATCCTGTCCAACGAAGAACACTGCCTGCACTCCCATCTCAATAAATCGGTCTCTCATCCGAGTACGCTTTCCCAATTTCGGATTCTTTATGCACGCACCACCACACATAAAAACAGCATGATCCCTTATTTTGCTGGCATCTTGATCAACCGAGCAAATATTATTGCTGACTTGAACAATCATCTCTCACATTAGGATTTTACGTAAACCCGTCTATTTGTCATTTAGTAAATGTATATTTCTTCTTTTTCCGACACTTAACGTTTTTTCCCTACTGTAACATGTCGAAAATGCTGAAAATTCATCTTATCGGGTGCATAAAGCTTTGATTGACTTGACTTGACTTGACTACCAAAAGACTATCAACCAAAACCGGTGTACGAAAGTGCATGGTTAATGGTTGCAAAAACTGAACTCGACTGAATTAGTCTATTTAATACCTCGTGTTTTCCTAATGGTATTACAGCAATGACAAAATCCTCCTTTTGGTTACTAACTTGTTGATCTGCATCTAAAGTATAGTCCGTTTTATCTATCCAGAAACCTGGATGAACCGAGCTAAGTCATCCCAAATAAGAACAATGGAGTGAAACAAAATTGAAAATTCTATATCGCTGGAAAAATAATTCAGTTTAACAAAAATCGATTGACTTTCCACTCAAATGATTTCGTACCCCACTTTGGTATCTAATCCTCCAAACCGTTTTGACGTGTTACAACATTTTACAGTTATTGAATACCGGGACCGGCAGTTGAGATATCGTATGTGGATGTAGGACTGTTTTACTTACAGCTGAATTTTTTATTGATATCTTTATTCGGTTAGAGAATCCAGTCGATGTGCATGTTCGTTCCAAGTTCATTGTGCCTTATTGTTTGAAAGCTTCTCAATAGAAATCGTTTTTAATGTTCGCCCTTTGAACACAAAATGGTCGTCATACATCCCGGT